TAATCCCACACCATTTTTATTATGATAAAATGGTGTGGGATTATAATCATAACATGTACTGGCGGACTGATCTGGTAGTTTAAAACAATTTATTTATATGTTGCACACCTGGTGAAGGATCAGTCGTGTAACATCGACGGTTCCTCCTGTTATTAGTAGCTTATTCAAGATTTTTTCTAACATGTAATTTTTTGCCAATTAGATTAAAGGATCAGGTGTAACATAAAACCAAAACAATTAAAGATTTTGAAGTAATAAGCATTATTTTTAAAGTTAGAATTAAGAATAATAAAGATTATGGTTTATACTAAAATTTCATGAAAATTTTTTTTTATTAGAACACAGAAGGCAGTTTCATACGAGTTAATGACGATTTTTTAAAAAGACATAATTTTTACATTAACCTGATCTTTCAATCTAATTGGCGATAGTCACGTGCCAGAAAAAATTTTGTGGGAAAGCTCATATTTTATGAAAAATTACAGGTTATTGATGTAGATTCAAATTAATTAAAAATTCTTTTGATACGTGAAATACGCAAAGATAAATTTATTATTAATAAAAGCAAACCGTTTTAATACTAACTACTAAAGTAATTTTATTTTATTTTTCAACTGTTAGATTTACTGAAAACATATTACATCTAACATGCTACTACTCCATAATCTACATTACTGTAATTAAATCGCACTATCGTATTTATTATACTACATATTAGAGATAGTTGTCTTTTTTGTTTGATTTTTAGACTACAACTGTATATCAAATTTTCATTTGACCATATAAATAGTTCATGAACAATGATTATAGAATATATCGATACAAGGACGATGATTTTCTGACCAAATTCTGCGTGTGGTTAACTAAAATTCTGGGTAATCCTGATTTTACTAATTTTCATCTACACTTTCTATTCGTTGAAATAATCTGTGATTATTTACATGTCCCTGTTTTTTTAAAATGTGACATTTCAGTTAGGGTTGGCATTAACAAAATTATACCAAAATTTTGTAAGGGATTTTTTTTGTTAGTACGTGATTTCTTAGGAGAAATTTGGAGATTAATGTGATTTTTAGAAAAAAGTGATTGTTTTGATGATTTTCATGTTACATCTGCTCTTGTCCCCATGACTGATCCTGATTGGCCAGAATCAAGTGACATCACCAAATTCATCCAATCATGGGTGAGATTTACCTTCAACCAATAGAAAAGGTGGGTGAAAATTAGTAAATGCAAAATCTCTAAAAAACAAAACAAACAGGCTAAAGCCGTTCCCAAACCACTGATGCATATAGCTATATCTTTTATCCACATCAGCATCTATGAAAATGACGTCGCAAATACCACAAGAAGATTTCTTAGATTTTTTCGTAAATAACTCGACATGGTCGTTACTAAAGTTTCTCAAATATAGAGCGGGAACCGAAAGTTTTACGTATGAAAAAGATAAGGAACATTTGTTGTACAGAAGCGCATTAATAAGCATTTCCACCGAGCAAGCTCAAACATGTCTTCTTACATTTGAAGTTAAGTTTTGAGATGTGCAATACGCAAGTAATAGCTGGGTTCAAGGGCTAGAGTATGTTCCGGTCTTAGGACACATTGTGACATATTGACAACCACCGAGTAGCCAGCTGGATTCGTTCTAGCGGGTGAGAGAGGAGTTCATCTTCCCTCGGCGCCCTTGAATATACTACACGTTAGTTGCCATGACGCAACAGATTGGGTTCGTCCTAATTGGTTGTCAGGCTTCGTGCTGTGTTATGGTCCATCTCAATCGCATAAGACAATTGAAAACTTATACTAATCAATATCCATTTCTTTTAATAGAAGAGGGAGAGAAGTTCTAAAAGTGTAGGGAATTTTTGGAACGAGATCGAGAAAAACCGTTTAAATGACAATATCGAAAAAAGTTCGGTCTGTAAATTGTGCATTACAATTGTTTATATTGCACTGTACATAGAATAACTGATTGATTTGTAAATAGTTAGAATACATCAATGAAACCATAAGTGATGCGGTCAAAGATTCCAAAACTGCAAGAAACTATTTATCAGACGAGCTAGAATCATTTGTAACAAACTCCAAGAAGCGAGATTGTGTAAGTTATTAAGAAAATTCAGTATTACATTTATGTTTCTGTGTGTAGGAATTTTACTTTCTTCTAACATGTAGTCACTTATGGAAAATTCTCAAGATCAATCTAATTTTCATATACCAGATCATAACAAGAAGGTCAATTATATATCTCTTTTGTCTTATTGTTTCGTACTGATGTAATGCCTTAATCATTTGTTTTATTATGCCATAGACTAGGAAAGATATGTCTAATGTCTCATTTGATGAATACATTAATGCCATTAACGCCGTCAATTCTATTCAAAACAACAACGAGTCTGCTCATACGAAGTAAGTTATGTTCTGCCTGCTCATCTATATATACATCGTGTGCTAATTTCCTTTTCGTAGCCCACTCTGGTGGGGTGTTCTAGACTTTCGTGAAGAGAACCTGTCTCCGAGTCCAAGCCTTCCCCGTGCCAAGAATTTCCTCTCAGCTAACGAAGTCAATCGTTTGATGAGTATGACAGAAAGTGCTATTCAGGAAGAGAACGAAAAAATAAGTAAATAAGTAAATCAGCTAAATCACTTTTAGAAGCACTATTATTATCAGAAATTGTTAGCCTCCAGCTTCTCGCAAAGGAATGTGGTGCACGTGGAATAGTTGGTGTACATGATCTTCTGCAAAGATTTGTCAATAAAATGCAGGTGAATAAAATTAATTACATATTATTCTGATTTAGCGCCCACAAATTTTATAAATTCTATAACAAAATAGGATGTTGATGATAAAAAAATAATTCAAGATAATCTTGCAAATGTAGATGCTGATGATGACACTACAATATATGTTGGGAAATACATTGAGGACACGTAAGTTTCCTTATACATAATAATTTGATCACATTTGTTATAAATTTAATCATAATATTGCAATAAATTAATAATTATAATAGTTACGAATGGATCTGTCGTTTTCATGGGCAATGTCAATCTGAACGAACCGTCGACATGTTTCTCGTTGGGCCTTGTGCAAAAACTCCACAAACTATATTTACATAGTAAGAAATTTGGCTTATTCTTGATCAATTATTTGTATTATTAAGCATTTTTTCCCTTCTAGTGGCGAAAACCATTCAGATGCTGATCGTGATGATAAAACAGCTCGATCGCAGAACAGTCGTGTTGGAAAGTCATGCGATTTCTTATATTGGGTACGTCTTATTCGATTATGAAAAATTAGCAGGTTAATTTTAATATAGGACTTTATATGTAGAGCTCATCTCGAGAAGTTGGTATTGGTGAAAACAGTGGGCCAACCCATAAGGATAATCATGACAAGGCGAGGACAGACTTCGTTGATGTGATTAAGGTCTGCAGGGCACAACATATCGAACTTATGATTCAAATGATAGAGCAGAGTGGGAGAAATCCTTTGCCGGAGAGTCTACAAAAAGCAATGGCTTCTATATTGATACCGTTTTACCATATAATCGGAATGAGAATTCGGTTCTATCTTCTATTTCAAATCAGCGGAGATCTGTACGGTATTTGGGATTGGGCCTCGGAATACTTACCAACTAAAGATGCAGACGTGGGAGAAATTGCTCTATTATGTAAAAGATTTTTGGTCCACGGAGTATGTTGGCTTTTTTTGATTAGTTTTGCTTTAAGTTATCAAGCTTTTACTAATAAATTTAACAGTATCTTATAGAACGTGTGGGACGAATGACAAACATTCTTGCTAAGAAGGCTAAAACCTTCAAAGATAAAAAAGATAAAATAACTGGGGCCAGTGAGCCTTCCCAACCAATAGTAGAGCTAAATAAATTTCGAACTCCTGTAAAGGATAAAAAGTCGGCAAAATAAGACTGCTACGTATATTATGAATATATTCTTGTGGTATATTTATACGTGGTCAACTCAGTAATTAATTAGTTATTTAGTACTGTGAGTTGTAAAAAAAATAATTGTAATTGTTTACGGGTATAATCAATATATAAGATGAGTATGGATATTATGGCGAATGTGGGTAAAATGCATACGTATTACAAGAATTTCATCCATTAAATAAAATTGTCGGAAATGTTAGATACTTTATAATTTTGATGTGATTTTAATAATTTTTTGTTAATTTATCTTTACATTATATGTCTCTAGTACAAAAAGGTTGTATCTGCACCAAACGTACAATGTGAAGATCGATTAACAAAAAGTTAGTAGATGGAATTCGATTTGCTTAATAAAAAAATCGTTTTATGTAAACGGATTATTCGGATTATTAAAGAAAATTGAGTAAAATCGCCACCCAAAAAGTTTCGAAAATCATGTGATATTGTCAATAATATCACGAGGGTGAAATCCGCTTTTATATAATAAAAAACATAACGATAATAAAACGCGGATTTCACTATTTCGCAACTCAGGTTTCACCCTGTTCTATAATTATTTAAACTCGACTTAGTGTTTTTTTTTTTCTTCGATTCTTCCAAATAAAAGCGATCATTAAAGGCACAAAATCCAATAAACACACTATTCTAAAAGTATACATTGATTGCCGGAACCAAATTTCCACTAATAATAAACGAAAAAAAAGAAAGTCAAAATAAGATTATAAAAACTAATCAAGAAAATGCAATTGCACTAGAAAACCTTGTAAATTTTTTTTTAATGCTCTTCCGGAAGATTATAGCACGAATTATCTATTTGAGCAAAAAATTTTATAATTCTGAATCCAGGACGTAACGACAAAAAACTATTGAAGAAAACATAATAAATTCAAATGGTAACAAATAGTTCGATAGTGCTACCGCTGAACGGCGAGTCAGTCACTCCAAAATCTGTAATGTCGCATAACCTACGAACGGGCTTGGTCGATAAGAGGCGGTTATATTTGGCGAGTGGGTTTATGGTCGTAGGTATGTCTTGTTTTACCTTTCGATACATACCAAATTAAATAAAATTATCATTTAAGCAATTTACATGTCTTTGTTATAAATTTTATATAATTCACATACTGAACAGATAGTTTAATTTAAAAACAAAGTTTATAATTACTGTTTCGCTTTCGTCAATAAATGCATCCTTAATATTTCCCATAATTTCCATAATTTCATTATCCACAAATTTAAATGCCAATGCATTAACATGAGCAAAAAAAATTAGATTACGATATCAAAGAATTTACAAATATAATTAATACAGTACTATTACCAACCCATACATTTGAATTCTTTGCCAATTATCTTAACTTCTAACCAGTGTGTCTATAGATTCTCTATGCTGTAGTTCTTTTTTATGATATCACTCATGTAATCGTCATATTTATATATAGCGGAACTGTAATTTATGTTGATTATATGTAAATCGATATTTTTGACCAGAATAAAATCGCCATCCAAAAAGTTTCAAACATCATGTGGCAAATATATTTAATTCTTTGTAATTATATAAATTTTATTATTATATTTTTCACATTCATTATTAATTTTAAAATTATATATACTATCGAACACTAAAAAATTCATGTAACTTAACAAAATAATAATGATAAGTAATAAATTAAGGGAATTGCTATTCGCACCATGGATTTTTGCTATTCGCACCATGGTAACTAACATTATGAAAAACTACTTACCCTAACTCTAACTAATTCTGGTCGTGATCTACATACCATGGTGCGAATAGCAAAAATCTATGGTGCGAATAGCAGTTCCCTATATTAATCTTTTATATGATGTAGTTAATTAATAATAATATTATTTATTTTGAGTTTATTTTAAAATATATATTATGAATATAATTTTTTACTGTTATTTACATGGAATAATCAATTAAATTAAAATTATTTATATGTAACTTCAAGTGTGATGAATATAATTTCTTACTTGGTATAATATTAATAGTTTTTCATATTTTATAAAAGTATAATTTAAGCTAGTTACAATAGTTATAACTAAACCAACTTAGCTAGTCAATATAATATAATTGGTAACTAAAAATTATATAATTTAGTACAATATTATTTATTGAAATGTTCTAATAAAACTGAAAGGTTACTAAACTTAACTATATAAAATTGAAAGCATAATAGTTTTTAGTAATCAGATGTTATTATACTAATAAAAGTTTTAGTAATATTTATACTAGTTAAATATAAGAAAATTAACTGCTGATTAAAATAACTAATTTAATCTAAACTTAATTATTGATTATCAATTAATTTTATATTAAATAATAAGACAAATTAATAGTTAATTAATAGTTGATTGCTAATATTATTTAATATAAAATCAGCTAATTAAAAATAAAATATAATATTTTAAAATTATATATAAACTTAATAATATATTTTTATATATATCATTACTCTTTTTGACAATTACTTAAACCAAACCAGCACCAAAACAGTTTGAAGAGTTATATTTTTAAGTAGAAAATATCTTTGATTCTGTTTTAATATATAAAGCAGATTGTTACTAACAAACTAGAAATATATAAAAAAACCAAGATGTGGGCAACTCTTCTGATAATTTGGATCAAGGTCAAACCTTTCTGTAGTCAGATTCCTCAATACATTTAGTATCCAAATCAGAAGAAAATTCTGGAAACAATAGAAAAAACTTTGATTAAAAATTATTAAAAACTTGAAAACAGAACAAACAGCTAAAAACATTCTCTTTAGTTTGGCTTTTTATATATCATATTTATCAATCCTTTTTATTTATTTTATTTTTTACCTAAAAGTAATAAATTTGGCCCTCTTTTTACAAAAGATTGACATTGTTTACTACTTCCTTTTTTGGATAGTTGTGTGTTATAATATGATATAATAAGAATACAACAATTATGTATATAGCCTAACATATAGTGTAATAAAGAAATAAAAAAGAATTTAAGTTGGAAGATTATAATAAATTAGAAATATATAATAATTTCTAGAATTATGTATATAGAATTTTTACTTCTTTAGTACAGATTAAAGTGTAGTTAGAACTTTAGCATAGATTTAAAGTATTAGTGACCTTACTAAAATGATTACTAATAAAGTGTACTTTCTGATAGTTTTCTTTTTTCTTTTTTCTTTCTATAATCTTTTTTAGTTTAGTTTAGTTTAGTATTTTTTTTTCACTTTTCTATGAGAAAGTGTTATTAGTTTAGTAATACTTTATTGTAGGGCAGTAGTCGAGAATAATCTTCCAAGTAGTAACTTGTTATTACTTGATGCAATAAGTTGCTTTTAGGTACTCTTAGAAGCAGTTAGAAGAGTTAGGACTAAGAAATTAAGCATATAGTATTAGTATAGTGTTAACATTCTTTTAATAAAAGTATATTAACTCAATTACTTAAATGAAAAAAAAAATTTTGATATATTTATATATTTTTTTTTATATATAAGCAGTTATACTAATACTTTATTAAGATTTTGAAATTATATTTGTAACTATATAAATATCTCTAATAACTAAGTCTAGCATCATTTGGCTATCTTAATGATACCTAAATGCAATCTGCTGCATTATTTAAAATAGAAATAAGCTGCTTGTCTAATTACTTAAAGTTTATAATAGAAAGGTCTTCTTTTTTTTATAATAAGCTTTAATATTGTTTTTGTTACTTCTTTCTCAATTGTTTTTCTTTTTCTCTTATTTTTTTTTTCTTTTCTTTTATTTTTTGTTGATTTGTCTTTTTTTTTTTGGTTCCTTTAGTTTTTCTTTTTTTCTTCTTTTAAGTTTACTCATTATTCCAATTTTTTTCTCTTATTTATTAATTTTTTTGTATTATATTTTTTATACTTGTTTATAAAATATATCTTAAGCTATTATTGCTACTATATTTACAAATTGCTATCTTAATTTTGTATTTAAGAGCTATATTAATCTGTTTTGTATTTTTTTTTAGAATTAAACTCTTAATTAATGCTTCTCTTATTTTTATTTTCTCTATTTCTGTTTTTTTAAAAAGTGCTATATATAATATAAATAAAGAAATCTAAATTTTTTCTTCTTCTTTTAGTTTCTTCTATGCTATTATAATAGTTATTTTTTTGATTCTCTTTCAAAGATTTCTTTGTCTTTTACATGTTGCCAAGTATGCTTGTATTTTTTTTACTTTATTTTAGCATATTTGACATTCTATCATTATGTATATATCTGGTCTTCTTCTATTGAGTTCTTTTAAAGTTGAAAGTTTATCTATTATGCACTTAATAATGCATTTTTTCTAAAGCTGTTTTTTCTTGTTGTATATTGTATTTTCTTAGTTATCTTTAGCCTTTTTCAAAAATAAGTTTAATTATAAATTATGATTTTTGCTTCTAGCTTTAAATCTTTAACTGTTCTTATTTCATTTCACTTTGCTTTTAGTCTTGCATTTGTTACTAACTTGCAAAACAGTCTTACTAATATATTAGTTCATCTGTTTCTCACTCTAAACATTACTTTATCTTCTTACAACTAACTTTTTCAGTCTATACTATCTTTCTGCTTATTGTTTCTTTCTTTACTAAACTATTAGCTTTATTATTCTATTTATTTTGCTATAACTTTTTATTTTAACTAAATTTATTTGAATATTTTTTGTCTTAGCAAGATCTTTAATCTTCATTATCTATATTGTATTCTTTTTTTTAATAATCTTATTTTTGTTTACTTGTTCCAAGCTTCTACTAATATTTCTTATTATAACATTACTATCTGTACATATTTCTATTTGTTTTTTTCTTAATATTATTAAAATTGCTACCCAAATTGTTACCAACTTTATTACTATCGATGTTTGTCATTTTTCTAGTTCAAGTACTACTTCTTCTTCTGACTATTCTTGTGTTTTATTTGTTTAAACCTATTCTATATTTATATTATTTTTAG